GTTCTATTTGTGATTTTTGACCATCGTCAAGTCCTATTTAGATGAATTAGGAAAGGAAATTATCTATTTTCTTAAAACTATGAATAACTAATCGATCATGCTATCAAATCATATGATGTTTTAGATAATATAATAGATGCAATAAATAAAGGTACATATACCTAGAATGAAATGTTTAAAAATTGTCCTAAATAGGACTAAAGTTTGCCTAAAAGTACAAATAGGATTAAAGACTTAAATCATATACAAATATGACTAAACTCTTGATTTCCTATAATAAATTCGTCTCGCATTCCTCTCTTTTCTCCATGTTTATCATACATCCAACTTCTATTTTGTTTATACATTATGCCTGAATATTATAATCAAAATATTATATTGGTTAAAAACTATAAATTATAAACATTAATAATAATTAGTTGTGTTTAATATATTTCACTAATTAATATGTAGGAACATCAATATATTAAATTTACTAGAGTTCACTAAAATTAGCTAACGTTCAATTAATATTATTAATTAACTAAAATCAATATGTTAATGGCATTAATCATTTCGATTGACTAACTTTTGAATTATAATAATTCACGATACTAAGATGTTTAACACTAAATCATTACGTACGTTAATGGCATTAATTCACAATACTAAGATTTTGAAAATCTAATAATACACAATAAATTAACTAACATCTAATTAAATGAAATTCAAATAATTCACAATAATAATTCATTGATGACCTAAAAATTCACACTAAAGTAATGTTTAAATACTAACTTAAATCATTATAAATCCTAAATTAAAGGCATTAACAATAATTGCTAAAATTTAGTATATATTTTTAAACGAATTTCAAATAAATATTTTAATTAACTAAAAATGTGAAAGGCATTTTAATTGAATTACTATTGTTACTACTTAAAACTATAATAGGTTTTTGACTAAAAGGCATAAGCAAAGCTAATATTTTAATAAACCAACTTGAATTAAATAATAATTAAATTTAACTAATATTATCAATTGAAATCCTAAATTAACGGTATTGCCGATAATTGAAAACATAATATACATTTCCAAACGAATTTCAAATATATGCACAATAAATTGTAACATCACTAACATTTGAAGTTAAATATATTGTTAATCAATTAACAATATCACTAACAATTTTAATTATTTAAAACGATTTTTTTCATGTAGCATTAAAAAAGATACATAATTCAAATGACATATTTTATCTGCATAGGCAGGGAAAATGACATAAGATTACATCCTTCAATCTTTCAACAGATGTTGTATTATACTCCGATTGAATTTCAACCGGTATGAGTCGAATGAAACTGTTCTTGCACATATCAAACACTATGTCACAGAATTTTTCCGTGACAACCTCTATCCGTACAACATTAATTCGGTGACCGTTGGAACGAAATAGCAATTATTGGGCTTTGTCACGGATCCGTCTGTGACAAACGAAAAAATAATAATAAATTTGTCACGGATTTGGCCCGTGACAAAACGCCGGAATAAAAAAATTACGCCGGCATAAGTTTCCGGTCACCGGAGCCGTGTTGTCACAGAAAACGTCTGTGACAAAGCTTTGTCACGGATTTTGTCTGTGACAAAGGTTTTTGGTGACATGGGAGATAAATCTGTGACAAACCTGTCAAGGATCAAATCCGTGACAAATGCCGTTTTTTGTAGTGTACTCGTCATATCTTTTACACACAATTTCTTTGTAAATTGTCCTAGGTAATAACACTAGTTTACTAAGAAGGAATTTCCTGCTCATTTCGTCGAGTGTGACAACAGCTCATTCCATTTATATCAACGTCAAAACAATCTCTCTACCTTCGTTTCACTTCAACATAAGGTTGTTATTGAGTCAAGCCGAGCCCGAATATCATAATGTCATATATCCTCATATATGTTCTCTTACAATTGAGAAGACGTACCGTTGAGTTATTCTTAGGCCCGACCCTCAAAATTTGGTGGGAGAAAGACCGGGAGGAAGTTAGTAGAATTATTAATGATTATTTTGTTAATATATTTTCTTCTTTGCAGGGTGATGGCACTTTCGTGTATGATTGTGTGGGGAAAAAACTTGACGACTCCCATAATTTTAATCTTCTACGCCCCATTTTAGGAGAGGAAGTGAAGTCAGCCCTTTTTGCAATGTTTCTTGATAAATCCCCTGGACCTGACGGTATGAGTCCTGGCTTTTACCAGCATTTTTGGGACGTTGTGGGTCCAGATATCGTGGAGTTTTGCAAGAGTGTTTTTGACACAGAGACATTCCCAGAGCATGTGAACCATACGAATCTTACCGCAATTCTCAGTTTAAGATTGGGCGTGATTTGCATGTCAAGGGCTGCTTCATTTAGCCTCTTGATCCATTGTGCGGCAACTGAAATGTCCCCCGTTCCATCGAACGGTTTGCACCCCAAATCTCTTGCTTCTTTGATGAATTTTGAGATCCTTATGGTTGGACCTCCATCACCATGGCCCCCATGTGGTTCATCTTGGGCTCTAGAAGCACCATGGCTTCCTCCTCTCGAAGCCATGCCTGAAGGTTGCCCTGCTCGGTGCCTTCGGCGTTCCCTCCTCTCCTCACGCTCTCGGTGGTACTGTTGGAGCAGCGCCTCAATTCTTGCCAAGGAGCCATTTTCCTCCTCTTCATCACTTACATCATCATCATCCCCTTCATAAGGGGTCTCAACCGGCTCGGTTTCCGGTTGATAGGTCGAGTCCTCATAGGACCAGTAGCTCTCGTTCTCAGTGCCCACATGACCGTCGCTCACGGTCTGCGATCGGACCCCACGGCCCGCTCCTCTAGATGCCCTAGAGGTCCTACGGCTGCCCTGACCGGTCTCCACCGGTGCACGGCCCGTTGGGTTTCTCCAAGTAACCTTGCCACCATGGTCCATTTCTGAAAGAAATTTGGAAAGAGTCGTTAGACTCGTATCAAATGTCAATTGACAGAGCGGTACTTGAGACACTACTTGGCTCAAATTGATGCCATACTAATTGATAAGGGTACCATCTTAACAATTAGAGACCTTGCAACTCAAGTACCAAAAGCTCTACAAGTACAAAACATTTATGCTCATGGTTTTCAAAATCATTTTGAAAAGAGAATTTTGAGACTTCATTATGAAGTTTATGGACTAAGGCTCTGATACCAATTAAATTGTCACACCCCGGACCTACCCGGACACGTCAACAACCCGCCGTACAACACGGATAGTCAACCACAGTCAACCGCATCCATATTATACAAGGCGTCATGAATATCATTCACACATAAATCATCCATAAACATACATAATAAACAATTCAGTACGCAGCGGAAAACATAGTTTGAAATCATGAGCACGCAGGCTCTAAAGTAAAATATCCATGAGCAATTTATTAATATTTCAAATGGAATGGAGGAACACGAACCAAGTCTTCCCTCCGAGGAATCACTCAATCAACGAGCACAGGATGCAAGCTCTAGCTTCAACCTGAAATGGTGGTGGGACGCCCCCGAAGGGGTCAGTACTCTATACGGCTATAAAGTACTAGTGTGGCAGGCATCTAATAGATATACAACAAGTATTTCACACACAAGACCCTCAAATAAGGTGATAATATAGTTTAGGCTGTAATCCCAAATTACCCCTTCAAAATATATACTTACTTTATATAAAGTCAAGTAGTCGGCTCAAGGGCCCATGTTTATTACAAAACATTTCCCAAACCCCGTGACTAATGGTCACGACATACATAGGGTCCAACCCTAATATAACTTCTCATTTCTAGAATTCGGCTCGAGTACATCATCATGCACTCGCATCATAGATCTCCTACTTCATGTAATCAAATCATAGATCTCCTACTTCATGTATCCACCCCATAGATCTCCTACTTCATACAATCACACCATAGATCTCCTACTCCATGAAATCACAATTGACACTTGAATCTTATTCAAGTTCATCTCAAACAAACTCAAACCTTAAGTTTGATTCTATCGACGTTTAGAACAATCCTTAACTAGCATCACAATACTATTAAGATTATTCCTACAACTCATTTATTCTTAATGGTAGCCCCTCCATATCAATAGATATGTGGCAGCCTCCCATGTGCTAAGCATCATCATGCAATTATACATTTACATACACATAACATTCATACATGAGTTGGGAAGGTCAATTTACCATATTAGCATACTTCTATCTCATATGACTCCATATTCATCAATATGGTTTCAATTCATGATCAAGTTCATTACTTATCATTCATATCATGTTCAAGCATCTTTATTCACAAAAACATGATTTAAGCATTTAGGTAATCTCATGCATAACCTACAAGTTGTAAGCAACTAGATGTCGGTCCTCACCTCAAATGAGCTTTAAAACTTTCCTTCTCAATCCAATGACCAAATACTCGGCCAAGGAAGCTTGAGAACTGATTCCTTGCTTAGAAATTAGCGTTAAACAGCCTTCTCAAAGTGCTACTTCAACCCCTAAACGTTGATACGAAAACAGCCCCTAGAATGGGTGTTTTCCGGCTAACTCGTTTCCTAGTTTTTCCAAGATTTGCTCTATGTTAGTATCTAACCTTTACATCAATAAGATCACTTTATAAGGACATATTATACACTTGGAGTACTGTATAATAGTTCCACCAATCGTTCATATCATTTGGAAAATGAAAGGAAAGGTTTTGGGGTTAAAACTCACTTTAGAAGATTAAATTCGTTCCTGCGAGGTTGTGTTTTTCTCGGACGATTTGGAAGCCTTCCACTACTCCGATTGATGCAAACAAGACCTTCACGGATTCCTCGTCTTGAGAGCTTTCTTTTGGTATCTTATACGCCTAAATTGGACGAGTCAATCTTAAGTTATGGCTCAAACAATCAGTACTACGCACTGAAAGATGAACCTGCGGACTGCTCTCTTCCTTCCTTCTCTTTTGAGTTGTGTGGATACTTTTGCTCTCTTATCTCTTTGGGGTTCGAATGGGGTGTAGGGGGGAGTGTATAGGAGACCTTAAACATGCTAAAGATAGCATGTGGCTCACAAAAGAACATGGGAGATATTTTGTTTGCAATCAAATATGGGGTGGACCTCCCCCTTTTGTTTTCTATTGGAGTTTTTGTGTATATGAGCCAAGAGTCCGCCCCATATAGTCATCTCACCTCTTTTCCTTTGTTTTGCAGGTACCAAGTCCATGTGGAATGGTTCCCAATTGATCCCATTCTACTTGGGGTCCAAAATATCTACAAATACTTCCAAAAATGGGAAAATGGGTCCTATTGTTTTATCTTTTGCTAAAAGATGTCTTTTTGTACTCATCTAAATTTATTTAGCACAAGTCAACTTCCTACATCACATTATTGATCTCCAATATGTGTAGGCTCATCTCAATAATTACATAATGAACATTATAGAAGGAAAAATCCTACTCCCATTATTTAGCTCAATAATGTCAAAGATGGGGCTATAAGCATTTGTATTCTTCTCTAATCATTCTATCACTTATTTTGACATTTGGCATACATATTATTGGACTACTAGCCGTGTGGGTCACTCCCGAGTGGGTCTAGGACGCCATTCTCGAATACTTGCTATTTTTAGCAGGTTGGGCCCAAAATAATGTTTGGGCCGCCCGACCTTCCTCAACTTGTCTTGAAAGGTTATGTATCATTATTTTGGGTAATGTTGGGCTCTTATATTCATTAATAAGTCCCAGATATGTATTTGCAAATCCGACACCGATTTACGAGTTTGAACAGTACAATAATCAATAATGCGCTACGTAAAACATAAATTGTTTTACAATTGTTTGGTAAACCGGAAATTCAATACATAACATTCAATTTTAAATTGAATTTTCAAGGACGTTCGGGAGCGGTGTCACAAGTGATGTGTGTTTTCTCGCACTTAAAATTGATGTAGAATAGTGGTTAAAAGTACGAGTATCGTCTCCACAGGGACGGGAAAAGGGAATCAAGAATTAACTAAATTCTGCTATTTAAAAAAAAGAAATAAATAAATAAAATAGAATGCAATTGTGCGAGATTGGTTGGTTTGGAAAATAAAACTGATGCGAATGGACAATTTAAATAAAGATTGGTTTCTTATTAATTAACGACGAAGGGAACATTGATTGATTTCGGGGTAACCAGATTTCTGGCAAAACAGGCCTAAGTACATGAAATTAATTTAATTGTGCCTAGCTTATCATTACTAAGTTCTTACCGCTCTCGTGGCGTAGAGTACAATTATTTAGGGGACCAGGCTGATCTTTCATGTGGCATGATCCTAAATTATTGCCAAAACGAGCGAGCTTACGGTCCCTTAATCACTACTAAACTCTCAGCGAACGATTAAGTGTGTGTGAAGGTGTCCTAGAACAAATTAGATCTTTCTTAATTCATTCTACATGCAATTGTAATTCTAGTGGCCATCTAGGTTACAAGAGATATCAATTAAATTATTCATACACAAGTTAAACGGCATTGATGCAATTAAACCAACAAGATCTAGTCATACATCATGATCAACCCCTTCATCAATCCAAAATCCCTAATTAAACTACTCACAATTCATAATTGAAGAATCAATAGAATTGGGAAGAATAAAAATAATTGTTATTAATTAAAAAGATAGAACTTACAAAGAATCTCTTAATCTTGAAGAACAAGGCTTGAAAAGCTCTCAAAAGTCGAAATAGGGTTTATCTCTCTAAGCTCATCCTCCAAAATAGGGAAAATAGGGACCTATGTATAGAAAATACAAAAATCTGGCCAAAATTTCAACCACACGGTCGACCGCACGTAGTGCGGGTCACAGTGCAGTCACGCGCGTCCGATTTCCGTCTCCGTGTTTCGCTCCGCCCGCGCGGTGTGCGGGCGTCGCACTATCCAACCGCGCGGGTACTCCTAGGGGCTATTTCTGGACCGCGCGGAGTGCGGTTCAGACCCCTCAAGTTTTTGCTCTCAGAATCACCCGCGGCAGGGCGCGCGGATTGCTACAGAACCGTTTTCTTGCTATTTTATTCCCCATTCGCTCCCGGATGCTTCTTTAATCGATCCAAAGGCCGTTTCTTCATCAAATCTTCGACGTGAACCTCCCAGTGGCCTCCAAAACTCTCAATTCTCTCTCAAATGTTCTCCAACTAATCCCGATTGCTTCTCAAGCGCAGTTGCCGAACTCTAAATTCCTGATTTTGACTCCAAACAACACAAAACTCGAACCAACCCCCGGTAAACATAACTTGAGCTAAAAGTGAGACTTGTAACACCTTAAAGCCAGGAAAACCATCAAAAGCCGATCGTAACACGCATCAAATGTGTGTTTAAATACGGACTTATCAGATCTCCCCACACTTAAGCCTTTGCTTGTCCTCAAGCAAAATGAACAACGGGACTTACGATAATCACCACACGGAATTAAAACAATTAGCATGCACACGTAGTTAAAGGGACACTCATAGAACATACAGACTAAACCAAGAAAATTCCTCCCTAAACCACATCTTTGTACTCTAACTAAAATATTTGACAAAATTATTCACAACATCCTCAAAGTAGTGACAGCATAGACAAATAAACTAGCTACCGATCAGAAGGACTTGTGAAGGCGGTGGTGAATGGTGAATGGTAATAAAGAGTCCTTTTTTTTAAGTTTGGAACATCCTAATAAAGACTTAATGCATTCATAAATTTTGGGGCTATTATTAGGATCAAAGAACTTAGTAGACCACGAATCAGGAACAATCATTTAAACCTATGCAAAAAGTAGACATGGTGTACAACTAAGCTAAACCGCCACGGCACATTGATGCTTTGACGTATACTTGAAGTACGTGGAGGACTAAAGCTATATTTTTTTTCAATAGCCTCCAAGTTCATTAATTTAGGTCCAGTTTCCCTTGTCATGTTGGCACGAGAACACCATTTCTTTCGAAAGATACCCAAGCCTCATCTTACACTTTTTGACCGGGGCTCCCATTCTCTTTTTCGCAAGGTAAGAGGTCTAGCTATTAATAATTTTTCACCTTTCGGATTTTTACTAGACATTACCCCATTCTAATCTCGGCCTCACCAAGGAAAAATAGCAATTAAAGTTCATTTATTTCAAAGTGAATCCATGCCTACAATGCAATCCTCAAAAATATCAAATTCCTAAAAAGTGTCCGCTCTTACCCCTTTTGGAGCATAGGAACAGTGCCAAAAGTGGCCCCTACACAAATTCTCTAAACTTAGCAAATTCATCCCCTAATTCCCTAAACACTAAGACTTTGTCAGAAATATTCACGGGTAAGGAAACACGAGCCATTTGGCTATGGAGCTCAATTAATTGGGTAATCAATAAATGGTCAGGCTCAAAGTGGCTTCTCCTAAAAGACTTTTTCAGGCAGGGTGGATGATTTATGAATAAAGCAATGGGTGACTAATGCCTTCATCCTCTCAATCAACTAGATTATAGTGTAAGCAATTTAAGTCTAAATACTTCAAGGATGTACTAAAAACATAGTCAAAACGCTAGCTAGTTCACAAAGACAGTTTAAAGAAAAAATTTCAAAAAATTTTGACATGACTTTCCTATAAATATACAACTAACACCTGCGTATGCTAACTCTAATAATCACATGTAACAACTACTGCCCGAATGCCCAATTCACTCCCCCACACTTAAACTTTGGCATCACCCTCGATGACAAAAAATGCACTATGCACAAGTGGGTAAAGAGGAAAGTGTCATGCATGCTCAACTCAACTCAAGTCAATTATCACAAACACGCGATTATAAGAGTCACAGAAACTTCCCTAAGACGCTGGTCGGTGCAGGACTAAATTGAGTCAAGTGATTCTCGGCACATCATCCCCAAAGCAAGACTCTGAGCTGCAAAAACAAAACACACAAAACACACAAAACAAAAAACAGAAAACACCCCGGTTTTTTTTTTGTTTTTTTCCGGGGGTTTCTTCAAAGCAAACAAACAAAAACAAAAGTGCAGAAATAAGCTTGGGTTGTCTCCCAAGTAGCGCTATTTTTAGCGTCGTTTGCCCGACGCAACCACCTCATCAAAAACTCAGTCAAAGACACTCCCGCTAAGAAAATTAGTCTTCCACAAATCAAACCTCATATCAACAAATGCCCTGAGATGGCGTAAGACCTTAAATTCATGAAAACAATTACGCATCTCAGGGTCACCCGTAAAGCAAAAGAATGGATTGTGGCCTTTATCAGGCCCTTTAACAAAGAATGGGTCAAAGAATGGACAACTCCCTTTCATGTCAGAAATTTTCCGGGGTAGAGCTTCCCTTTGTTTACTAAGTAAATTAAAACATGCTAAATTTTGGGATGGCTCAAGCTCGGGTGCAAGAATAACAGGGGGGTCGGGACTACCATCAATAAAATCATACTCAAGGTGGAATGGAAGAGACTTTAGATTTAATGGAGAAGGAGTAACAAAAATGGAATCGGCCTGAAAAATTTCCTTCTCCACCTCATCTAAATTATCTCCCGTCACCCGCACAGAACTAGCATCACTTGAGTCCTCCTCTCCACCAATCATAAGACAATCAAAACTAGGGAGGAGATCAAGATCCTCTGCTGACACACTTTCCTCCCACAAAAGATCAAGAAGGGCTTCATTAGAAAGCATGTTAGGGGTGCAATCAGTGGTGGATCCAGGAAATGAAAGTGTTGGGGGCAGAGTATGATGAAGAACATAAAGACAATATAAAGTAAAAATACTTGATAAATATATCTGAACAACAAATAGTTGTAGCAAAAGAACATTATAATGAAATGAAGTATATTACAATGTCAAAAAGCAAAAATAAAGTAAATCACAACTGCGCTCTTTGAGTTTTCATTTTTTTGAAAGAGATCTATTACAATTTCATTTGTTACTGTTTCAAATACATCTCTTTCAATAAAACAAACTAAATAGTCACTGAGAAACTGGTCGCCAATTCTGTTACGCAAATTAG